GGTTTTGGGCCTGAGCTTGCAGCTGAGGCTTCTGCTGGCTATGGTTCTGCAATCAAAAGATAAGTTCGTTCTGATGATTGGGTTCCCGTGTTCCTCATGGGTATCCATGAGCCGCTCTTCTACGAGACGAGACTACTTCCGGCCACTGGGGGATCGCGCTCTTGAAAAGGTTGAGTGTGCCAACATTATGTTATCCAGGTCGGGCTTCTTTCTGAGGGAGGGCCGAAGGGTTATCGTATTATGTTGGGACTGTCTTTGAAGGTATAGCAGGTGTGCTAGCGACCGATCTAATGTTCGGATCCCCTAGAATGGTCAGGGTTGAACTAGGGGAGTTTTGGGTCTCTGTTCCCATCTCGGATCCGTGGCCCTGGCAGGTTGGTTTTGCTGCTATATTTGTGCGAAGCACGTGGCGCAGTCTGGTGTATCGAGCAGCCCAGGACATCCTTGATACGCAGGGCTCCACGCTTCCAAGAGTTCCTCAATGTGTTTAAGGTAGGGCAGCACGAGTGCAGTGTACATGCTACGGGTGATATGAAATCATCTCAAACCTGAGCCGCAGGTGTATCGCCTGCACTTTTACATGAAGTTCTGGGGGCACGGTTCTCTGAAAAGGAGCACACTGTATTCCAATAGCCAGTGTATTCGGAAGTTCAGCTCCAAGAAGATGACCAAAAACGTCCGCCGAGTCCCGCGCACTGAGCTGGTGAGTCGCGGTGTGAATGCTCAGGGTCGACCGACCTACACGGGCAACGCTCGTCTGAAGCAATCCCAGTCGTGGCCTTATGGCCGTCCGATTCCCGATTCTTCTTGTCTGTATACTTGCATCATGAGCAGTGATTATACTAACATGGCATGCACAATCAGGACCTACCCCTGGAATTTCGCAGAGCGCTTTGCCGCTCTCTTTCCCGCCTTCGTTGCCGAGAAGGCCGATGCCTTCTCCGATGTGCCTGGGCTGGACTTTTGAGCTTCTGCAAGCAAACTTGTACCCACGAGTCAGATATCAGTTTTCTGCATCCGTCAAAACTGCTTTCAGCTGCTTCCCGATGCACAAACCAAGGTCGTGACTGATGACGAGATTCTGCCGGAGGATATCCTTTCTCCTGACAGGTTCCAAGATTGCTGGGAAGATGCACACATGGACCAGGTTATCAGTTACTTGGCCCGATACAAACATTTGGCTTGGCCGCATACGTGGCGAGATGCAGCAGCTGGTGCTCTAAGTGCTTGCGGGCTCCGGTTCTGAGGGGATGGTTTGGTTTTGCGGGGCTTGGGCTCATGTCATTTTAACTGCAATTCGCTTTTCCCGCAAAACCCCGCAATCCCGCAAGTTTTGTGAAATCCCGAAAGTAGCTGTGATTTGCGTCGGGTGCCGTAAATATGGACGCAAGTGGCGACATAAAAGCGTAGGTTTCCGATGGCTTTTTGCAGCTACTTTTGCTACTTTGGAATAGCACCAAAATCGCGTGCAACCCTGCGCAGACGAGCGCAGCCTGACCTTCGCAGCCTATCCCGTAGACCATAAAACCATTCCAGTGCTGCTTTTGGGGGGATTTTTCCATGCTTCTGAGACTGCTGTCATGTGCAATATGCAGGAGATACTGGTGATCTGTTAGGGATGTGTGCTCCAGGCCGCAGTGGGCGATCTAGTTTTGTTGTGGAAGGACCGTTTGTCATTCAAGCATTTTGCTGCAATGGCTGGGCCACTGGCTAAGCCGGATCGGCTGGATTCCTGTGCTACGCTCCAGCAGGGGTCTTCCTTCCTGAAGAGTGATTTGGAGCATGTGTTGCAATCTGGTAGTGCTTCGGTGGAAGACAAGCTGGCAGCTGCGAAGAAACGACTTCAGGCTTTGTCTCAGGCTGTTAAAGTCGCACCCCCAGCCTCCGAGAAGCCGGTCGCGAAGCCGGTTCCCATGCCGGCACGTGCCTCCGGTTCCAGGTCGAAGGACAGCTAGTGCAAGCATTCATGATTGTATGCGTCACGCAAGTGAGAACATGCGACGTGACTGAAAGCTTGCAATGCAGGCCAAACAACCACCCGAACCCGCAAAAGCAAATGCCCCAGACGGCTTCGACTGCTTTTAAGCTGCATGCATGTATGCATTTCAATTATCGGCTTTTTTTCGTTTATGCATCGCTTCAGCTTCAAAGGCCGCTGCCTCGGAGCGCGAGAAGTCGGCTGAGTCTGCTGTGAAGCCTGTCAAGAAGGAGAAGGACAGGTTGTGTTGTGCATGGGGGTGTGTAGCTACATGCTGCTTCTTTCGTGGCAGGACCCAGAGCAGAAGGCGTATGACAATGCCGAGGCCAAGATCAGACGCATGATGGCGCCGAAACGACGCTCTGGTAAACTCGAGAATATCGACGAGATCCGTCGACGATGGCACGAGAGTAAGGACTCCAAGAGAGCCCTTGTTCTGGAACTCATCAAAGCCGACGGAGATAAGGCAGTCCCTGTTTCTTCGCATGCTGCTCCGAGCCTGCGTGATCAAAGCTGCCACCAAGCTTTCTCCTGACAGGCGGTGTTCCAGCGACGCATCAAGCTGCAGATGATCAACTCACGAACCAAGACTCTTAAGATAGAGAACGGCTTCTACAGCAAGAAGGCAATGAAAGATGTTCTGAAATGGGAGAAGTCACTCGGCATGGTGTTGTGTCCTTCCCCTCTGCCTCCTTATATCATTTCTCGCTCCTCTCTCCTCCCTCTCTCTCTCTCTCACTCNNCTCTGTGTCTCTTCCTCTCCCCTCTCTCTCTCTCTCTCTCTCTCTCTCTCTCTCTCTCTCTCTCTCTCTCTCTCTCTCTCTCTCGTTCTCTGCCTCTATTGCTCAAGGTCCCGGATCAAGGGAGCCGTCGCGTATTGCCTCCACAAGTCCCGGCGACGCACCCACGTTCGGACCCACTGTGCGGGCCATTCTGCTGTAGCATGCATATATGCAATTCCAATATGATGCTGGCATGCAGGAATGACAAATACGAGAAAGGTGTCAAGCTGTACTGGGTTGACACCTCCTATACCGGCTCTTTGGAAACCCGCAAAGAGAACAGGATGGAGGATGAGGTCAACCTGGAGCAGGAGGTGCCTGATATCAGGTTGGGAGGCGAAAGCGAGTCAGAGGATATGCCCCACGACAACGAGGACGAATGCCCCAGCCCATCCGGCACCGATACCGCGAGCACGACCCCGACGAAGCGCAGAAGGAGCAGGAGCAAGAATTCCAGCAGCCCCGATGATTCCGTCAAGACGAAACGCAGCCGCAAGCCCAGCAAAGGCGATTTTGAGGATGAGCTTGCAACCGAGGCCATCATGCATGCTTTTAAATTTGACGTTTAACATGCATTGCAGCTCCGGCAGGCAATGGAAAGCGCCGGCGAGGTCCTCGAGAATGCCCTCCGCGTGCAGTCGCAGCTGGAAGCCACCTCGAAAAGGTTGGCAAAAGCTGGCACGGCCGAAGCTACTCAGAGACTCTGCTTCAAGAGAGTGTGCAATCTTATTTGGAGATCATGCATGTATATTTGACCGAGAGAGAGAGAGAGAGAGA